CCCTATAATACATTATTGAGAGTGCTCATAGAAACTGAAAGTTCAATATATTTATTATAAAAAAATTGCTCTTTGCGGCACAATACCAGCCGCTAGACTTCTAAATACTTTCACAAATAGTGTAATAAAACACAATGTGTCAAGCACAAGGTCAATGTTGAATTACAAAATTTCGTTGTTGATTTTGATCAAGAGGAGTTTCTATTGTTCAGGATGAAGCTTTGAACAGTTACGTCATCCGAGTGGAAAATAGTTCTTTGGCCTTTTTTTCTTGCACAATGAAGATTGGTTATCTGTCTTTGAAGAGTAAAATCTTTTCACATTTGAAATATTTTTAATCTAAATGCTTGGTTGTTCAGGAAGGTAATGAAAATATATAGACACCTCTATTATTGTTTATAAGAAATACATGTAAGCCTTAAACTGAAGTTTATTATATATACATGTTTATTTCTTCTATTTAAGTGAAACAGTGGTCCTCATTTAACAAATCCTAAGAGAAAATTTGACAGCTGAAATGTGCAGAAGTGTTAGTGTGCTGTCTTCTTGTACTTAAAATGACAGTTTTAAACACACTTAGCTTTTCTTGTCTTTTCGTTCCAGTGCTGAAAATTGATTAAATCTTTGTCAAGGAAAATCAATTTTCATATCAACTTGATTATTGCTATATCCATGTATAAAGGAAATAGATATTCTCAACTTGGACCTGATCAGAATAGACTTAATAAACAAGTGACTAATTGTCTACAGTCATGTGACTAATTGTCTACAGTCATGTGACTACCAATTCTAGTATTAGTTATCTGAGTATCTTTATTCCTTTTGAATGCAAACGTTAATTTGAAGTTGCATTGCTTTTGCTGATAAGGTTATGATTTAAGAGGTTATATGTTCTAAAATTATCATAGATAAAAAGAAAGAGAAAATAATACTTCTTAAAAAGAATTAATTAAGTTATTGCTGTTTGAACATGTAACTTTCCTTGAAGCCAGCCTGAATCATTGTATATAAGTAAAGGCCCTGTTACAAGCTAAATAAGACTGATTCATGTGTGTCAGTAAAGGTCCTGTTATAAGTGAAGTAAGAAAATCTGTCATGGCAGAAAGTCTCAAAATGTCGAGATCTACCAATTTCCCATTTCTTCCAAAATTATCAGATCAGCTTATTACCACAAATCACAGATCAAGTTTGAATTTTGGTGGTGTCACTTAAACCGCTTTAGAGTTATGCCCCTTTACAAATGAAAAAAATGCTAAATTTTTCGTTTCCGTTCTCTAACTTTAGTTTGCCTCAACCAAATGTTATGAAACTTATACACAATGCTTATTACCATAAAATACAGATCAAGTTTGAATTTTGGTTGTGCCACTTTAACCGTTCTAGAGTTATGCCCCCTTTACAAATGGAAAAATTGCTTAATTTTTCGTTTCCCTTCTCTAACTTAAGTTTGCCTCAACCAAATGTTAGGAAACTTATACACAATGCTTATAACCACAAAATACAGATCAAGTTAAATTTTTTGGTGGTTTCACTTTTACTGTTCTAGAGTTATGCCCCTTTAATTTTCGTTTCTGTTCTCAAACTTAAGTTTGCCTGAACCAAATGTTATGAAACTGATACACAATACTTATTACTACAAAACTCAGATCACTAACAAATTTGGGTAGTTTCACTTATACAGTTCTAGAGTTATGTCCCTTTATAACTTTATATATATGATATGCAAGCAGGGGCATCATCTGTGTCCCATGGACACACCATCTGTGTCCCATGGACACATTCCCCATTTATTTCTTTTTGATTTTGGGAGGATACTTGGAAGACATTTTTATGCTGATTCTTGATTATGTTAATAATGTGAACCTGGCAATGAAAAAAAAATAAATTGGCATTTATTCCCTTTACACACTTTAAAAGCAGTGTATTTGAAATTTAAAATAAATAACTTGTTTCTTTGAACTCCTAAAAATGATTTTAAATCTTGAATAATGGCATATATTTTGCTAGGTGTTTGGTAAAGCAATTCTGGCTCGTAAAAGCGTCTATTTGTCGAGCATGCAACTTCTGTCGCTGAAAGCAAAACATAGGTATAGTGATCCGGCAGCGGCGGCCGTGGCATGGTGGTGTTAACTAATTACTTTAAAGCTTAATATTTCAGAAGGTAGAAGACCTGGATGCTTCATACTTTGTATATAGATGCCTTATGTTCTCAAGTTTCCATCTGTCAGATGTCAATTGTCCTTGACCTCATTTTCATGGTTCAGTGACTACTTGAAAAAAAAGTAAAGATTTTTTGTAATTTTAATTTCTCTCTTATGAGTAATAGGATAACTATATTTGGTATGTAGTACCTTGCAAGGTCCTCATGCCTATCAGACAGTTTTCACCTGACCTTGACCTCATTTCATGGATCAGTGAACAAGGTAAAGTTTTTGTAGTCAAGTCCATATCTCAGATACTATAAGGAATAGGTCTACTATAATTGGTGTATGGAATGATTGTCGGGTGTACAAGCCCAACTGGCAGGTGTCATCTGACCTTGACCTCCATTTCATAGTTCACTGGTTAAAGTTATGTTTTTGTGTTTTGCCCTGTTTTTCTAATACATTATGCAACAGCTCAACTTTATTTGGTGTATGGAAATATTTTACGATGTTCATGTGTCTGGCAGGTTTTATTTGACCTTGACCTCATTTTCAAGGTTCATTGCTCAATGTTAAGTTTTTGTGTTTTGGTCTGTTTTTCTTGAACTATAAGCAATAGGTAAACTATATATGGTGTATGGAATGATTGTAAGGTGTATATATGTCTGTCTGACCTTATTTTCATGGTTAATTGATCAATGATAAGTTTTCCTGGTTAAATTTGTTTCTTAGATACTATATATATGCAATAGGTCAACTATATTTGATGCATGGAATGCTTGTAAAGTGGACACATCTGTTTGGCAGGGTTCATCTGACATTGACCTCATTTTCATGGTTCATTTGTCAATATAAAGTTTTCATGGTTTTGTCTGTTTCTTGTATACAATAAGCAATAGGTCAACTATATTTGGTGTATGGAATGATTGTAAGGTGTACATGTATTTCTGGCTTTGTTTATTTGACTTTGACCTCATTTTCTTGGTTCATATTAAGTTTATGTGATACTTATAGTAAAACTTAATGTTTAGGACTATCAACATAAAATCAATGGTCAGTAAAGCAGGCAAGACATTTCAGCGTGTGCACTCTTATTTTCATACATTGCCAATCTGTGAATGATTCATGGATAATGTTGTTATACATGTATCTTTGTGAAAGGAACAAACATCTGAAATTTTAATGAACATTAGCAAGATTAGGCAAGACACAGGTTTTTGTGGAATCCTTTATGAATTTTTTGTGGAAAGCTATGAATCCCTCTATTTTGAAAAATTGAAGGACAGGTGAATTATTGTAAAAATTGATGAATCCCTAGTCTTTTATGTAAACTAAAAACAGAAGTAGTGGCCACTTGTGTTAAATACTAAATATCTGCATGTAATCAACTTATGAATGAAAATATATGTCAATGGAATACTTCTGGCATACTTTCAAGAAATTTTTAATTGTTTGTATTAAGTTGGTAAATCCGGATATTTTAGGCATGAGAGGTCAATGCCATTGAATGCTTGTCAAATCTGGATTATGTAACGGAAATGCATTGTAGTCACAAGACATGTTTGAAAATTCTATATTCCAGTCATGATTACTCATTTTACAGAAGGGAAATATATAATATATAATTTAAATTGGTTATGGGGATTGATTTAAGATACAAACATACATTGTAAGGGAGATAAATCCTCCTGACTTGTATCAAAAGAACTTTAGTTTGCACATAATTGAGACATTTTAATATTAATGTAGAAGCATTAAAAGCTCTGATCTTGGCTATGAAAATATAATTTATATGTTTTATAGTCCTTTTACAGGAAATTAAAGTATCAGTAAAGTGATAAAATTGTCTAGCCTCCAGATAATAGTTTCAGCATAATGTGTGGAGTAGAGAGTATTTGTCACCTCATTATTTGGCAAAAATTTATGTTGTGTTCAGACATTATAATTAAGACTTTAATGAAAATACAGAATCCTAAACTAAAAGGGAAAAAATTGGGAGAGAATTAAATTCTTTAATTTGTAATTATTTATTTATATACATAGAACTGAACACATTAAATGTAATGGAAGGATTTATAGACAGTAATTTTTTCCCCTAATAGGTTTAGAATTTTATAAAGAGAGGAACGATCTACACTATTTGAAATAAATGCATTTCATAGGTTTAAGTTATTTTTTGTGCATTTGTGTTTTATTTTTGTTTTATAGACATACAGTTTCCAAAAATCCTCAAGCTTATTGTTCAAAATTAATTGCTATTTTGATTTAAGATTTTTGATGACTTCAGGGCTTCAGGATAAAGACCTGACATAGATGGATGTTTAATAATGAGGAGCATATTTACTAGATGAAAGTTATTATATATTTACTTGATAAATTGATAAATATGTAAACATAACCTGAGGTCAAAGATTACATCAATGTGGGTAAACAAGTTTTGATTTTTATGTAAGCAATATGTAAATTTAGGCAGTGACAGCAGATAGAAAATGAAAATGACCTCTTTTGGCTGAGAAAATGGCTGATTGAACAGACTACATACATAACTTAAAAATAAAATGTATCAGGGACAAATTGGGTTATAATTATCATTTAGATGGTCTCCTACATTTATTTATAACTGTATGGGATCACGATGTTCACAGTTGACTGACATGGAATGTGAGATATTTAATTCTTGACCAGATTTCTCTCCATTTGTGGTTTTAAGGTCTAGTGGTTGTGAAATATAACAAGTTTTAACTTTTGATAGCAATTATTATCTGATATTAAAAGATCAAAGAATATTATGTAAGGTGATTAGAGATAAACAACTGACCAGGTGAAACCCTCAAGTTTTAGGGCAGGAGGACAAGTTCCTAATAAAATCTGTCATTGACATTTTTAGTGGACTTTTTCCATGATTAATGGGACTTAAGAGTGACATATCTTCACATATTGTTTTTATATTGCTTTAACAATTTTGATAGCTGTGATTTATATGGGCATTATATATTTATATGGTGTGTGATTTGATCACTGTGAACATTGTGAAGATTTCTCATTTTGTCCACTTGGTAATAGTCATTATACAGACAGGAAAAGGTCAGCTGACCTTATTCTTCATGATGCACATTGGAACTATGTGTAATTAACATATGCCAAAGTGTAATTATACAACATGATGATGAATTAACATACAATAATTATCTTGGACATACAACTTGGGATTTTGTTGTGATAGATATACACAGGAACTTTTCTTGTTTAACTGTGGGTTTTCAGAAAATAACATTTATTGAGTGGTTTAAATTTGTTGAAGAAAAAAATCTAGACTGGTAGTTTGTCAAATTGTGTAATAGGAATACCTCATTGTACTTCAAGGTTCTTAACTCTGCAGTGAAGAAGTGCAGTTTGTAATCTGACTCCAAGCAAAATAAGTATAATTCTCAATCTGTATATATATTCAGATAAACACACAGAGGGCAAATTATTGGCAGAATATTTGTGAATTTATTATAAGTGAGCTTCAGGTTTTGAAGGGAAGTGTTTTTAATTAAGAAGTCAGTGGTTCTTTAGGAAGTACAATTAGTAAAAACTGTGTTAAAAATAAGAGAGTTAGTTATAGTTTTGGATTGTAGACAGTTTATAAATAACAAAGTGATTCTCAAGTTAATTAGAAGTAATTATTACTCCAGACATTTGGAAAAAGTGTGAGAGGCAGAATAAAATTTTCACACCTCTAGTTCAAGTACCTTGTGAAAAATTGAATATTTTATGAGGATAATAAGACTGAGATGGCTAAGACATGAATGTCTACATGAACTTACATGAGAAAGACAAATTTTCTCATGTTTATAGGCTAATAAATTACATCTGTCAGATCGAGGGAATTTTACCAGGAGTCAAAAATCTAGGTTGCCTTATAGTGCAGTATTGTAAATAACATTATATTTTCATTCATAGCGAATTAAGTGGAACATTTAGTGACAATCGTTTATTAAACTTTCATTCAGGATATAGGCTTGAACATTAAAACAAACCACAACAATTTGGTAAAGGTGTGCCATATTTAAAGGAAGTTGGCTAAAGTGCCATATGTTTGTTTTTTGAGGACGAGATTGACTTTTAGTTCTAAATGAAGTGTTCTGATGTAAATTACTTTGCTCCAAAAGTGATGTGCAGCATTTGTATTGAAGAAACGTATGCAGGTTACGGAGGTGGGTACTGGTTTTTCTTTTGTTTACTAATTTATTCATTTGTTTGTAAACAATTCCAAATGAACAGATGCGATAAGTTCTGAATGTTGTGTACATTCCTTGCATATTTCCCATTGGGGTAAAATGGGAATTTGTAATTTCCTTTTGGCAAGCTTGCATGAAAGTTCTTAGTAATAAATTACATAATAATGCATATCTATTTGAGTACACTAGGGAATCTCCCCTGGTAAGTTATAGCGGAATTAGCAACTCATTACATAATTGGATTAACCCTTAAAAAATAAACGAAAAAGTAAAAAATAAAATAACCGAGCCTTTAGTATGATGCGAAGTGCAATTGAGATATTTCAGAAAATTGTATTGTCATTAATATTAAGATTATACATTTATCCTGAATTTAGGTTATTTTTCATTACTTTTTGAAACCTTCAAAAGATAACTGCAGGAAGCAAAATGTTAATAGTTTCACCTTATCATTGCAGTCTATTAATTCAGTTGTTGGGTAACAGTTCAATGCATTTGGTGTAAAGTACTCTCATTTTCAGTATTAAGATACCAAAAATATTTAATGAATGTTATTACTCATCTGAAAATACTTAAATGCCTAATGTATATTTTTTCTAATCCCATATTTTCTGTGTAAATAAAAAACATATGCATCCACTTGAGGAAATCTATTGAACAAAGTAAAATTTTAGGATTTATAAACCACCTTTAACCCCTGTCAAAGACAAATGTAAGTTTCTAAAATATATAGCTGTAGACTAATTGATATTCTTGTATAAGCTCTGTAAATGACCAACTACCAGGGAAATATATGTATTGTTTTTACCTGAACAAAACATGTATAGATGTATTGATAGCTGGCACTGAAGATGACAGTTATTTACTAGATCTTTAGGTTTGAGTGTACTGCTTCACCTCAATAGAGTTGAACATCTTTATGTCATAAAAAGCTTATACAAGAACATCCAGATTATGCAAAATAGTATGTAAGAGTTAAGAGTATCTGGACTGAGTTAACGAAAGGTGTGTCTGTATACCTACCTATATCAATTATCTGTAGAACAGATAAAACTTCAAAGGCTTAATCAGTAACATTGGCCAACTACCAGAAAATGTAGGCACCATTTTTTTTGGCGATGTCAGTATAGGAAGTATGATTCAATATAAACTATAAATATTTGTATTTTTTTGCTATTTTGTATTGAAAATTATATGAAAAAGAAGATTGAAATTTTTACATTGATGGTGTAGACTTTCAAGATACAAAATTTAACCCTATAGAAAGATTCCATAAAAATAATCTGTGAAATTGCAGTATTGGAGTGATTTTTGAAGGTGTTGCCAGTTTGACAGTTACAAAGATTTTTTAAGATCTTGTGGAAGGAAACCAGGGCTCTCTTAAAACTTTTAGAACTGTGTTACAATGAAAGAAAGTTTTAGGTTAAGTTTGAGAAATACCTCATTTAGTTGTTATTAAAATTCTCAGTGCATTCAGTCTTTCGTTGATATTAGTGTCTTAAAGAATTTTGCAGAATTAACTTTTTTTAAATTAAGATAACAAAATGTTGTTTTAATTTTTTCTGTTGAAGTAGATAGAGTGAGTGATGGTCAACATTGAAATTGTCAGTTATATCAAAGGAAATACTTGAACTTTAGTCTGATGGTTTGACCTACTTAATTATTATAGTATAAGTGTACCTATAATTACTAACTCCCACCTCACTTGAACTCTGGTTGTCTCATTGACAATCATACCACATCTCTTTATTTTAGTATTAAGTTCAGCAGAATTGGTGAATCAGAAAGGGAATTTCATTAAACTGAACTTTACATGATCTTGTCAGTTTTTGTTGTGGTCAGGGGTCTGATCATGAGTATTGCTTTGGTCAGGGGTCTAATTATGAGTTTTACTATGGTCAGACTGGTCTGATTGTGAGATTTGATGTGGTCAGGGGTCTTATTGTGAGTTTTGAAGGGGTTAGGGGTCTGATTGTGAGTTTTGCGGAGGTCAGGGGTTTGAACATGAGTTCTGCTGTGGTCAGGGGTCTGATGTGACTGTCAAAAGTTAGGTAGAATAAAAAGAGGAATGAATTGTAATTACTTGGGACCACTGTATGTATGATTGAAATGAAGTTCAAAGACTACCCAGGAAGCCTATTATAAGAATATTCAATCTATGAAACTTTGTTTGTTGAGGGTTGGATGCAACTTTCTATAGGTTTTTTATGGATGTCAGGTCTTAGATGTTGGAGGAAACCACTGTTGGGACAGTGTCAATAGTTAACATATATCACCTGTCTACGTAGACCCCCTAAAGCTCCTTGTACCTGTTAAAAAGAGATATCACAGCTGAATTAAACAGCACACTGATTCATAACCTTATATTCTTGTCAACAACAAATGTCATTCACAGTAAACTTTAAGCTCTCAAAAACAAATGCAATAATTATCCTATAGAAAGACAGATTTATAAACAAATGCATTGGCCTTTGTTATTCTTATATGTTTTTTTTTAAATTTTGGTTCATTTATATGTTTCGGACTATAGTGTGACGTCCATTTTCGCTGAGCTAGTATACCGGTACATTGTTTAGGGGCCAGCTGAAGTCCATCTCCGGGTTAGGGATTTTCTCGCTGTGTTGAAGACCCATTGGTGGCCTTCGGCTGTTTTCTGCTCTTTGGTGGGGTTGTTGTCTCTTTGATGCATTCCCCATTTCCATTCTCACTTTTATTACTCTTTAAACCAACTCTCTGTGATCAGCAATGCATGCAACTAAATTTCCCATATATTACATAAATTTATTTTGTGTCAGTACTGAAATATTAAACTCAAATGGTACTTTGTGTTCTATCCTGCTCTTTTCTGTAAAAGTCAAAAGTTTTTTAACTGATCACCAGAGTACAAATATTTTACCGTTTAGTTGTTAAGGCGTTTTAAAGAGAATAAAACAGGAATCAAATCCCAGAATTACCTATCCTGTGGCCTTAATAAAAGGAAGCTCTGCAGACAGACATGATGATCTATATACATCCTGATAACTAGTGACATGATAATTATAATAGGCCTGTATACTGAGTAATTTCTACAGCTCATTAAATTTTACAACATATTGCTTTTTTTTTTTACAAAAAGTAAAAGTCTTTCTTGGTGTATGCTTTAAAGTAGTGTCCAGATGATCATTATAGGCAGTAATTTATATAATTTATGAACTCCTTGGAGGCTTAAAGAGAAGGTATGGCTGCACATTATGCCTTTCTGTGTGTTTGACAAATATGTCATGAAATTGTAGGAAATAACCTGTACAAAAAGGAAATAACCTGTACATAGAAGGAAAACACTTGTACATAAAGGAAATAACCTGTACATGAAGAAAATAACCTGTACATAGAGGAAATAATCTGTACACAAAGTAACAGTCTTTTGCTCAGTTTGCCTTTCTGTAACTAAGAAATAGTGGATATGACAAAAAAGTCTTGTAAGTCATGAAATTTTAGGAGAGAAACCTGTACTGAAAGGAACAATGCTTTTATTGCTGTGCTTAATCTTGACAGTTGTTGGAACAGCAAACAAAAGAACTCACACTTTCAGGCAATTGTTTAAGACAGCCTGCAACATGTGCAAGGAGAACATTATAAGACTCACTCTCATTATCTTTGGTTGTTATAAATTTTCCTGGTATTTAAATTTTTATAGGGAATATTTAAATTTGTAACAATTGCCCAATATCCATTTAATACAATAGTACAACACGTGGACATTTATCCTTAGATATCTGCTGTAGTTAAAACTTTACACATATTCACTTATTTTCCAATTTATAACACATTGTCTTTATAATGGAATTGCAGATAATTAAAGTGTTGAACAGACTTAATTTAAAAAACTTAAACAGTCCTTGATTAGCTTAAAAACACCTGCAAGCATTTTTGTAGATTTTGATTTTTCCAGGCAAATGTGTACAGTGGAAATTGGAATTTAACCTCATGTTAGGTTTTTATGCCCCCGCCGTAGCGGTGGGTGCATTAAGTTTTACCCTTGTCCGTCTGTATATACGTACGAACGTACGTCCCAAAATTGGTTTCCGTTCTCTAACTTGAGTTTGCCTCAACGAAATGTTATGTAACTTATACACAATGCTTATTACCACAAAACACAGATCAAGTTTGAATTTTGGTGGCATCACTTTAACCGTTCTAGAGTTATGCCCCTTTATAAATGGAAAAATTGCAAAATTTTTAGTTTCCGATCTCTAACTTAAGTTTGCCTCAACCAAATGTTATGAAACTTATACACAATGCTTATTACCACAAAACACAGATCAAGTTTGAATTTTGGTGGCGTCACTTTAACCGTTCTAGAGTGTTGCCCCTTTATAAATGGAAAAATTGCAAAATTTTTATTTTCTTCTAAATATCAAGTAATTTTTAAAATTGGAGTTATCTTCCTTTGTCCATGATTATAGTTGAATCAACTACAATCAATGCTTTATACAATGCAATGTTTAATTTTGACTTCCACTGATAAAACACAGATCAAGTTGAATTTGTGTAGTGTCACTTTAACCATTATTGAGTTATGCCCCTTTATAAATCGAAAGATTGTAAAATTTTAAGTTTCCATTCTGTAACTTAAGTTTGCCCCAACCAAACATTATGAAACCTATACACAATATTCATTACCACAAAACTAAGATCAAGTACATATTTTTTGTTTCCGTTTTCTAACTTTAGTTTGCCTCAACCAAATGTTATGAAACTTATACACAATGCTTATTACTACATAATACAGATTAAGTACGAAATTTGGTGGCGACACTTTTACCATTCTTGAGTTATGTCCCTTTATAAAAATAAAAATTGCTGAATTTTTCGTTTCCGTTCTCTAACATTGTTTGTCTCAACCAAATGTTATAAAACTTATACACAACCGTTCTAGAGTACCGGTTATGCGTGTTTACAATTAGAAAAATTGCTGAATTTTTAGTTTCTGTTCT